ATTAAAAAAGCAAAGCAAACCAACAACTCCATGGAGATTCATTTCATTTGCAACATGCTGAAAGGAGCAAGACCTTTCAGGTGAGGGAGTAACTTCAGTGCTTGGGTTCCCTGCGTTCTCACAGGTGTTAGCAGCTGCCTGTTGATCTCCAGTCCCTGCATAGGCGCCTCCCTCGGGGGGGGCAGGACAAGTTTGTGTCTGTCACCCTCCCTTTCACAGCGCAGCCTGAGGATGCTGGGGGCCACTGGAAATTAAATTTGGAAGCAGAAACGGCTGGGCACCGTGGCTCAAACCTGTAATCCCAGCACTTTGGGGGGCTGAGGTGGGCAGATCACGAGGTCAAGAGATTGAGACTATCCTGGCCAACACGGTGAAACCCCATCTCTACTAAAAATACAAAAATTAGCTGAGCATGGTGGCGCACGCCTGTAATCCCAGCTACTCAGGAGGCTGAGGCAGGAGAATTGCTTGAACCTGGCAGGCGGAGGTTGCAGTGAGCCGAGATCACACCATTGCACTCTAGGCCAGGCAACAGAGCAAGACTTTGTCTCAAAAAAAAAAGGAAGCAGGTATGCCACTGTGCAAGTTCAAATTCAAACCTTCCAGATTCAGACAAAGCGCTGTCTTCGCTCAGGGCTGGGCCGCCTTTCCCTGGCCTTTTAGAGGAAATCCCAGGCTGCAGGTGAGAAGCCGAGCCTTCCAGCCCACGGATGAGGGGAGTGTGAGTTCTGACCCAGGGCAGGTGGGACCAGGAAGCTGAGTGGGGGTCAGGGGCCTGGGCTTCACTTTCCTCTGGGAGAACTTGAGCCCCAGGCCCAGGCTGAGTTCTTAGTACCCGGAACAGGCAGAGGCAGGTGTGGGAAGGGCTGGGCTGGGCCCCACCGGCCCCTTTGTTTGCCATCCCGGTTGGGTGAGTACACCCATCCCCTCATGGCAGCTTTGTTATTCCAGAGTGTGCTGTGCTTGGCCACTGGCTGGAACTTGGAAAGCAAACACTCCCAAATGTCACATATTTTAAAAGTAGAAACAAGATCATTTGAAGTGTGTAAGGGAGGAGAAATATACCTTAAGCTTCATGCCTCCCGTGAACACACAGGATTTAAAAAGGCCAGCTGCCCACCTGGACAGGCGGCCATGAGCACTGGTTTGCCCACATGAGTGAGTGTGCAGGTGGGCATACAAGTATGCACCTGTGTGTGACAGGATGTGAGGTGCATGCGAGGGTGTGTCAACCTGTGTGTATGTGTGAGCACCTGTGTGAACAGATACTGTACTGCAGCGAGCATAGAAAGTTAACACCAAGACAAAAGTATGCCAAATTATATGGATATGCGTGTACATGTGGGAGACATTGTGAGTGTGCATGTGTGAATAAGGTCAGGAGTTCAAGACCAGCCTGACCAACATGGAGAAACCCCATCTCTACTAAAAATACAAAATTAGCCAGGTATGCTGGCTCATGTCTGTAATTCCAGCTACTCAGAAGGCTGAGGCAGGAGAATCACTTGAACTCGGGGGAGGGGAGGTTGCAGTGAGCCGAGATCATGCCAATTGCACTCCAATTGAACAATAAGAGCAAAACTCTGTCTCAAAAAAAAAAAAAAAAGCATCGTGCAAACGTGTGCAAGTGTGTGTGTGCACATAGCCCGCCTGCAGGGTGGCGGGGTGCACCCTGTGGTGGACTAACCTCCAGTAGTGGGGAGTGGTGGGAGGTTAGCCTCCGCTGGTGATGGGAGCCTGGACGAGGGTCTAGGGCTGCCTCCTCTCCAGCTGCTTTAGCTGTGAGTGGGGTGGGAAGCCTCTCTGTTCCCATTTCCCTGGGGGGCAACCCCTGCCAGTGTGGAACAGGTGGGTGGGATCCTGCCCTGACTCCTGGGGTGGAGGAGAAAGCACCCCCTGGCCTGTGCCTGGCTCTGACCTGGGTGTCAGCTCTGGTGCCTGCAGACCCTCAGGGTTACTGGTGTGGAGGCTGTGCAGGGTCATGAAATTCAGCAAAAGTTCAGCGATTTCAGCCCTGCTCATTTTTGAGATGGCTCCCGTACTGGAGTCTGGAGTCACCTTGGTTTAGCCAGTTACATGTTATTAGGTGTTACCTTGTCTTGAAGACAGGGAGATGCCTGGGGGAAGCAGAGGGAGAACTGGATTCTTCAGAAGTACCGTTCACTTCTGATGACTGTTACCCTCATTAGAAATCAGCTTCATTTGTTCCTCAAAATCTCATTCAAAGCATTCCCTTGGGGGCTTGCTTTCCTAAAACTAAGGACTGAACTCACTGCAATGAGCAGTGGGTGAGGTTGGCCTCCTTGAGAAACAGACTCCAGGCCCCACTTAGGAGGCAGCAGGTGTGGGGGGTTTCAGGAGCTACACCTGGGGGCAGTGAGGGGCCCGGTCTCGGGCCCAGGCCTGGGCAGAGGGGAGGCCAGCTGCCCAGCAGGTATACCAGGCCTTGGGCACCCCACGGTATGCTGCAGAGTTGGGACAGCCCCTCAGGGGTGGCCTTTGTGGGGCCGTCTGATGGTCACTGTGTCCATGCTGCCTATCCCTGGATGGGGGCCACCCCAGTGAAGATGGTAGAACTGGGCCAGGAGGTAGAATCTTAGCGCAGGGTCTCAGCTAGGAGCCATCAGCAATCCACACCCTAGAGCCCAGTCTTGGAGGGGAATGGTGGGTGCTATACCTCAGCACCCACCCTTGATAGCACCTGGTTCCTTTTTTAGTTTTAAAAGTGGGTGTTAAAGTTTAATGTTCATTGTCTAGTCTTTTAAATTTGCCAGTTGTCTCACACATACCTGCTGTGGACAGAATTGTGCTCTCACAAATGTCTGCATTGAAGCCCTGTCCCCCACCAATGTGACTGTATCTGGAGATGGGCCCTTTAGGAGGTACTTAGGTTTAGATGAGTTCCATCAAGGAGGGTGGCTTCCTCAAGACCAGGAGTTTGAGACCAGCCTGACCAACATGGGAAAACCCCATCTCTACTAAAAATAAAAATTAGCTGGGTATGGTGGCGTGCGCCTATAATCCCGGCTACTTGGGAGGCTGAGGCAGAAAAATCACTTGAACCCAGGAGGGAGAGGTTGCAGTGAGCTGAGATTGTGACACTGCACTCCAGCCTGGGCAAAAGAGTGAGACTTGGTTTCAAAAAGACCCGAAAAAGTCACTTGTGGGCTGGGTAGTGGCTCACTTCTGTAATCCCAGCATTTTGGGAGGCCCAGGCAGGTGGATCATTTAAGGCCAGGAGTTTGAGACCAGCCTGGCCAACATGGTGAAAACTGTCTCTATTAAAAATACAAAAATTAGTCAGGCATGCTGGCTAACAGATTGGATGAGGGAGGTGGAGACTGCAGTGAGCTGAGATCACACCACTGCACTCCAGCCTGGGTGACAGAGTGAGACTCTGTCTCCAAAAAAAGTGTCACTCATGTGTGACCTTTGAATCAGCAGTGTTGGAGATTTTCTCCAAAGAGTCTTATTGTACTCCAGGGTTTCTATAGGAGAACGTTTACTGAAAAGTCACTTGCCGTAAAAGAATTGTAAATGGCCCACATGCCCATGGATTGGATGTGGGCGATGTATGTTTAGACGTGATCCTCTGATGGAATACTGGAATTTGAGATGGAGTTTTGCTCTGTTACCCAAGCTGGAGTGCAGTGATGCGATCAGCTCACTGCAGCCTCCGCTTCCCGGGTTCCAGCGATTTTCCTGCCTCAGCCTCCCAAGTAGCCGGGATTACAGGCACACGCCACCACGCCTGACTATTTGTATTTTTAATAGAGACAGGTTTCCCCAGCCAGGCTGATCTCAAACTCCTGATCTCAGGTGATCCACCGGCCTTGGCCTCCCAAAGTGCTAGGATTACAGGCATGAGCCACGGCACCTGGCCCACACCATACTTTTTGCACTGTGTTTTTTTGTTTTTTTAGTATGCGAATGTAATATTTTTTAAAATGCATTCATTTAAAATTCTGTAACTGGGAGAGAATGTTCCTGGAAATTTTCTGGTCATTGGAAGCCCCTGAAGATCTGAGAGAAGACTCCAGCCAGTGTTCACCTCACAAGCCAGAGGAGGCAGCATGGGCTGTGTGGGTTGCAGGCCACTGTCCCTATCTGGGGGCGGGAGTGTCACCGGCCGCACCCCTGGCTGTGGGAGGATGCAGCAGCTAGTCCAGGAACAAGTGGCTGGAAGCATGGGGAACATGAGACCCTCCCAGCAGATGAGGCTCTGAGCACTCCTGGTCTGAGGGCCGATGGGGAATGGACAAAGGTTATGTGCTATGGGCGGCCTGGCTGGTCACTCCAGGAAAGCTTCCAGAACCTTCCTGTCACAGAGGAGTTTAAACTCTGGGGAGGACATCAGAGCAGGGTAGTGCCTGCCCTTCAGGAGCTCACAGGCTGGTGAGTGAGAGGGGCAAGATTAGAACCGAGTTGGAATCCAGGGGTGACCAGACAGTGTGAGGGGTCTGCAGGTGGGGTGGGAGGGTGGGCGGCAGACAGGGCAGGTGGCCTGCTCAGAAGTGACCCTTGGGCCGTGTGATGGCGGCAAGCTCCAAATCTCTGACAAGGCTCCCTACATTCTGCCATCACATGGGCACAGGCGTGGGGAGGGGCGTGAGGCCCTCTTGTCTGTTTCTGGCGCGCCCCTTGGAAGAGTCCAGCTCGGCCCGCAGGGTGCTCAGAGTGGGGTTGGAGCCTGGGAAGGGCTCGTTGCTGCATTTTCTTTGACCCCAGGGAGTGCTTTTTGAAACCCCCTCCCCATCGGCCACCATCCTTGGCTCACCCACTGGAAGCTGGGTGCAGCTGCCTCTGGTACAGCTCTGGGCAAGTCCCCAAGAGCTGGCGGGGGTTTCTGTTCATGTCACAGCCCCGACCCAGAATCAGTCAGGTTTTCTTTCAGCATCTGACTCTGTGGCTGGGATGTGCCCGGGGTCCTCAAGGGGCCCATGGGCTCTTCCCTGGCTGCTCGGTAACCTCCTCTCTGGCATCTTCCTCTCACCCCGCAGGAGAGCACTGTGAGGTGGACGCCCGCTCAGGCCGCTGTGCCAACGGGGTGTGCAAGAACGGGGGCACCTGTGTGAACCTGCTCATTGACGGCTTCCACTGCATGTGCCGCCCCAGTGAGTATGAGAGACCCTACTTCGAGGTCACCACCTGGAGCTTCCCACCCTGGTCCTTTGTCACCTTCCGGGGCCTGAGACAGTGCTTCCACTTCACTGTCTCCCTCACGTGACTGTGCCTCCCACCTCATCATATGGGTCCCTTTAGGAAAGGGGCGAGCTGTCTCCATGCTCCCGTGCTTCAAGATCGTGATGTCTGTGTCCTCCACCTGTGGCCTTTGACAGTTGAGTAGCTCCAGACCAATCTCGGTGGCTCACACCTGTAATCCCAGCACTTTAGGCAGGTGGATCACCTGAGGTCAGTTCAAGACCAGCCTGGCCAACATAATGAAACCTCCATCTCTACTAAAAATCCAAATTAGGCTGAGCATGGTGGCTTTTACCTATAATCCCAGCACTTTGGGAGGCCAAGGTGGGCGGATCTCAAACCAGATCATGAGTTTGAGACCAGCCTGGCCAACATGGTGAAACTCCATCTCTATTAAAAATAAAAAATTAGCCAGATGTGGTGGCACACGCAGGTAGTCCCAGCTACTCAGGAGGTTGAAGCAGGTGAATTGCTTGGACCCTGGAGGTAGAGGTTGCAGTGAGATGAGATTGCACCACTGCACTCCAGCCTAGGCAAGAGAGTGAGACTCTGTCTCAAAAATAAATAAGTAAAATATAAAATTATCTGGGTGTGGTGGTACATGCCTGTAATCCCCACTCCTTGGGAGGCTGAGGCAGGAGAGTCACTTGAACCAGGAGGCGGGGGTTGCAGTGAGCCAACATCTCACCATTGCACTCCAGCATGGGCAACAAGAACAAAACCTCTTCTCTGGCATGGTGGTGGGTGCCTGTAATCCTAGCTACTCGGGAGGCAGAGGCAGAGGTTGCAGTGAGCCGAGATCACGCCACTGCACTCCAGCCTGCCAACAGAGTGAGACTCTGTCTCAAAAA